TTTTTTTTTTTTTGAGGGAAACAGGAAAAAGGAGAGATTGAGAAAGAAGTAGGAAATGTTTGCTTTTGTAGTTGGAGGCTAACACTTTCAGTTCTAGTCCTAGAATATTGAACTTGATCTTGTCTTGGCCCCTAAAATACAGATAGTGACCTTGGACAAGTCACTGAATTCTTAAGGGCCTCAGTTTTCTCACTGATAAAACTAGGGCGCTAGGGGACCCCTCCCTCCCAGTTCAGACATTCTTTGGGAAAACAGAAAGGGCGGAGACAGCGGGAGAGGCGGAGGGGAGGAGCCAGAAAACAAAGCGAGGACTGGCTTGAGGCCAAAGCCGGTGGCCCGCCCTGTCGGAAAGCCCTACAGGCCCGCGAGCGCGGGGGGGGAAGCTAACGAAAGACAGCACATCGAAAGGAGCCTGGGCTGGGCCCGGGTCCCGGCCCTGAGGACCACGGGCATAGCTCACCACCATCACCGCGGGCGAGGGCCGTCCCTTCCCAGCGACGAAATGACCCTTGCGCTGACGACCGTTACCTACCACACTCTTCGGCTGCCCGGACTTAGACCCTCAGTAGCTCGGGCACCTAAGCACACAGAAAGCTAGAACACGCATTTCCGGGGCGGGGTCTTGCACCCTGCCTATACTGTGAGAATTTAACCAGCGCGGGCCGCCTCCTGGCCGCTCAGCCCTCTGGGTAAGAGAGTCCAGAAATTNTTTAACCAGCGCGGGCCGCCTCCTGGCCGCTCAGCCCTCTGGGTAAGAGAGTCCAGAAATTACTGTCGCGCGTGCATTAAGTCCCTAGAAAACTACATTTCCCAGCATGCAACAGGGCCAACTTCCTCGTGGACACTACATTTCCCAGAAGGCAAGTCTGCACCGCAGTGTTTACTGGGATGGGAACCACGCCGCTTCCCAGCCTCCGTGCTGAGTGAAGCGCGGACCTTTCAACAAGAGCTTTATTAATTCTCACGCTAGGACCGTGGAAGGCGATGGAGGTGGCGGCTAATTGCTCCTTGCGGGTGAAGAGACCTTTGCTGGATCCCCGCTTTGAGGGTTACAAGCTCTCCCTCGAGCCGCTGCCCTGTTACCAGCTGGAGCTTGACGCAGGTGGGAAGCGGCGGCGCCCTTCGCACTCCGTTCCTTTCCCTTTCGGCTGCCATCGGCCCGACCCTTTCCGCATTTTCTTTCCGTCTGCCTCAGGCAAGCCAGGCCACCGTGGCCTTCCTCACGGCTCAGGGTGTTCGCCTCTGGAGAATGATGCGCATCCCAGACCCCCGTGGAGCCGCCTTCGCGCGGCTCTTCGGTAGCTGGACTCTGGGCTCGGAGGTCTGGCATACTAGTGCTGCCTGGGATCCGGCCGCCTGTCGGTCCCCGGCCTGGTCCCCTTCCAGCTGCCGGGAAGGCTCAGGACGTGCTTTCCTCCTGGAGCGTCGACTGAAACGTGTGCGTTGTGAAACCACACCCCCTCGGAGGACCCCCAGCTCCTGTTTCCTCTGACGGAGAGCTATTTTTTAAAAGAGAAACTACATTCAAGTCAGAGCATTTTTGGTTACCCTGGTCCTGGCACACTAAGAACTCTGTCGCAGAGAACATCTCTAGAAAATTAGGGGGAAAAGTTGATTTAGTATCCATACTGCTACTACTTGCTTTGTTTATCTGTAGCCGGCCAGAATATTCTCATCCATGTTTTTGCAACGTAAAGAACGTCACTTTCGTTAATGATAAAGCCCAGAGGGCTGCATTTTTTAATACACACTTCTGCCGATGATAATGCATGTTGTCAG